TCTAATGCAAATAAAATGATGAGATAACCATTTCACACTTAGCAAACTGGCCAAAATTGAAAAGCCTAACAATAATGGTATTGGCAAAGATGTGGGAAAATGAGAACTTTTATACACTGTTGAAATATAAATTGAATCAACCACTTTACAGAATACTTTTGTAAAAACTAGTGAGGGTAAAACTTTGTTCCTAAATACGGCCCCCTACATAGGACCCACATATACAAGGAAATCTGTAAGAAGATTCACTGTACCATTGTTTGTAAATGATGTATTTGTAAATGAAAGTTTAGAAACAGTGTCAATGTTCACAAGCAGAAGACTAATAAATTATGATAATTTTACATGACAGTTCTATAAAGCACTGAAAATGGATTAATTATAGCAGGGGTTGGCAAATCTGGCCTATCATCTATTTTTGTAAATAATTTTTATTGGGCCAGATGCAGTGGCTCAAGCCTGTAATCCCTTTGGGATTACAGCACTTTGGGAGGCCAACGCAGGACGATTGCTTGAAACCAGGAGTTTGAGACCAGCCTGAGCAAAAAGTGATACCCCTAACTCTACAAAAAAAATTTTAACATGAGCTGAGTGTGGTGGCATATGCCTGTGGTCCCAGCTACAGGGGAGGCCGAGGCAGGAGAATCACTTGAGCCCAGGAGGTCAGGCTGCAGTGAGCCATATTCATGCTCCTGCATTCCAGCCTGGGTGACAGAGTCAAACCCTATCTCAGAAAACAATAAATAAGAATCATAATTTTTATTGGAACACAGCCACCTCATTCATTTGTCACTGACTGCTTTTGCTCTGTAACAGCAGAGATGAATAGTTGTGACGGAGATCATATAGTTCATAAAGCCTAAAATAGTCACTGGTCCTTAAAAGATTTGCCAATCCCTCAACTAGAGCAACATGTATTAAGATGGGTAAATTTCAAACATAGTGTTATATGAAAATAGCAAATTGCAGAATAGTGCATATTGTATAGAATCTGAAACAATGCAAAGTACATTCATATATTATTTATAGATGTTTACATATGTAGTAATACAAAATGTGTATAAAAATCCTAACTGTGAAATACATAGTAGTGGTTACCATAGTAGAGGGAGAGAGGGGAATAGGAGTAGGGAGGTTATAGAGGGAGCTTCAACAGTGTCTGTTATTTTCTGTTTCTTTAACAGATGTGTAATAGGTAGAAATGTTAGGATTTTATATGTAACTGGGTAATGGGTACATGAATGTTATATTAACTATACCTTTTTGAACATTTAAAATATTTCACAATTTAGAAATTAAATAATTTTATCTCAGCTGATATAACAGTTGGTGAGATTTTAATAAGAATGTTCTGAATATTTTGTTTTCTAGCACACATTTTTTAAGTATTTTGTGTTAAATTGATATAAATGGAAGATTTCATATAATTTTACCTGGGAATATTATTTATATGTAAAATTTATTGACAGAAAGGGATGTAAGGAAGCCTGAAATAAAAAGCATGAGCCTTTTTAAGTTTAGGATATCTGGAAAACTGAGGCCTGAGCTAAGATGTACCATAAAAACTAAGGACAGTAGCCTAGTGCAATGGTGTATGCCTGTAGTTCCAGCTATTTAGGAGACCAGGGCAGGAGGATCACTTGGGTCCAGGAGTTCAGGTTCAGCCTGGGCTGAACACAGCGAGACCCTTCTGTACTAAATACATACATAAATACAGCTAAGGACAATAAAAACCCTTTGCTCAAGATACAAAGACATTTACAAAGAAACATTTGGGCCAGGAATGATGGCCTATGCCTGTAATCCCAACACTTTGTAAGGCCAAGACTGGAGGATTGCTTAAAGACAGGCGTTCAAAACAGCCTGGGCAACAAAGTGAGACCCTTTCTTTACAAAAAAATTAAAAGAAAAAAATTAGCTAGGCATCATGGCATACGCCTGTGGTCCTAGCTACTTAGGAGGCTGAGGCGAGGGAATTTGAGTCCCTGATTTTGAGGCTGCAGTGAGCTATGATGGTGCCATTGCACTCCAGCCTGAGAGCAGAGTGAGACCCTGTCTCTAAAAATAATAATAATGAAATGTTTGACTTATGACATAGTGTAAATGGTATAATTTTTTTAAATAACCAAAGAAAAGTGGAACTAGATAGTATGCATTATGAAAGAAAGGGTACAATTGAGTGTGTTAGTTTTACTCTTAGCTCTGTCACTAGCTGTGTAACCTTGTATAGGTAGTTTTAACTTTTCTGGACCTAGTTTCCTTAAGTATAATATGAAGCAGTTAGCTTGAATCACATTAGATCCTTTCCACCCCTTATTCAGTGTCTTGTTGACTTGTTGACTCCTATTTTCAGTCCATTGTTTCTATCAAGAAAAATTTTTCAACGAAAATAAAATGAAGACCTAGTAAGCATTGCCTAGGCACTTTGGTTCATCTCTTTAAGCCAGGGGTTCACATCTGTACTCCAGATGTATTGAACTGTGTACTGTGGTCCTTCAAATAGGCCAGTCTCTTATTTGGCTCCCCTTCTTGCTCCCCCATCCCCCTACCCCGACTCTCCACCTTTAGGTTTATTCCTTGTTCAGAGTTTAGATGCTGCTTTCTCCAGGAAGCCTTCCTGAATTTGCTCAAGGAAATGGGTGGATGTTGGAGCCTCTCATATAATTAGCCAACACTGGAGAACAGCTTTTGTGGAGGAAACTCGTATGTTTTTCTCTGTTCATGAAATCTGATCAAATGTCAGTTGAACATTCAAGTAGAAATGTGTAATAGCTTGTTGAGTATACAAATCTGGAGATTAGGAACAAGATCTAGGTTGAAAATATAGTTGTAGGAGTTACCAGTTTATAAATGGTAATTCAAACTGTAGAGTATATGAAATAAGCTAGTGGGGAGAGTGTAGATTGAGAAGAAAATATTGAGTCAAATCCTGAAGAAAACTCATGTTTAAGGGAGAATGGAGAAGAGCAGAAGAAGACTGAAGAGTAACCGGTGAAATTAGAGAAAAACTAGAAAAGCATGGCCTTACGAAAACCAAGCATATCAAGTAGGATGAAGTCAATAAAGAGTGTTGACAGGATTTAACAACAAATAAGTCGTTGCTGATCTTGACAAAAACACTTCGTTCCTCCCCTCCCCCCGGACAAAATCTTGCTCTGTCACCCACACTGGAGTGCAGTGGCACGATCTCGGCTCACTGCAACCTTCGCCTCCCATGTTTAAGCAATTCTCCTGCCTCAGCCTCCAGAGTAGCTGGGACTACAGGCAAACGCCACCACGCCCAGCTAATTTGTTGTAGTCTAGACCAGGAGTTGGCAGACTACATATATAGCCTACAGGCCAAATCTGGCCCACCATCTGTATTGATTTTTTTTTTTTTTTTTGGTGGTGGTTTTTTTTCCCCCTTACATTTTAGATTTTTAAATACCTATATAATATCCATAATATGCCTTTTAACCCACATAACCTTAATTAAAATATTTATTATTTGACACTTTAGGAAAAAGTTTGCTAACTCTTTAGACTAAAATAGGATTATCTTAAAATAGGATGGGACTAATAGATAGGCAGAGAATAGATGGGTCAGAGGCCTTAAAGTCTCAATAAGATCCAAGTGTTAGGTATATTGGGAGCAACTGAGCGAGAGACTGGGAAGGATGGAGGTTGTGGTGAGACAGGATTGTGAGTTAAGACTTCAGATCTGGGGCAGCCGTGAGTGACCCCAGGCCTAGCTGTGGCCACAGTAGTGGGTAGCTGGAGCAGAGAGATGTGCCTGTTCGTGGAGTTGAGGGCAAGGAACTAACAGCCTAAGTGGAGACAGTCCAGTTGCCCAGGGCCTGGAGGAAGGGAAGGTTGATAGCCGGTCATTCACATTGCCAGTTTGGGATAGGAGAGTTAATATAAATAACAATCAAATATAGTCAGTCCTTAAAACTGAGGGAAACCTGACTGGAAGGCTGATCATTAATTATTTAAAGACCTGGAGCCGCAGTGTGGAAGGGGTTGCTAGTGAATAAGAACGCTCGTGTGTGTTAGGTGGCATTAGTAGATGGTACCAAACCATGTAAAGCAGAGCCAGCGGAACTTGGGACATTGAACCAAAACCAGTCGCTGACGCTTCCAACTGCCTTACTGGTTTTTCATTTAGAAGAACATGGCTTTCCTTTGTTGCTGTAGTTTTTAAAGGCAGAACTAGCATGAGAATGTGGATATAGACCAGCTTACCTTCAGTGCTCCATGCACATAATCAGAATGACCTTCCTTCATCACTGGAGGTCATTCTTACAGCTGGATGGCAGGGTCGCTGAAGAACTTCCCCATAAATGACTTTCAATTCCTTTCTAATCCAGATTCTGTGATAATACAAGTATGATGCAATTTTCATTGAAAGCTAAAAAACAAAGCCCATCTAATCAGGGATGATCTTCACCTCTAATTTATTATTATCAAGTACTACCTCTGTTGCAGGCACTTTGTAGGGCTACAAAAACGAGTGGTACCCCTTGACATTGTGCTGTTATCCATGCCTTCTTTAGCCATTATTTCTTCGTATGTGGGAAAGTAGTAGCCTCGATTTTACTTTTTAATTTTATTTATTTATTTATTTTTTAAATTTAGAGTCCTGCTATGTTGCTCAGGCTGATCTCTAACTCCTGGGCTCAAGTGATCCTCCTCAGCTTCCTAACAGGCTTGTGCCACCATGCCTAGCTTACTTTTTTATATTTCTGCCTTATTTTATCCTCATGTCAGGACCACAGATAGAGCATTGTTATACCAACATGAATATGTCATGGCATAAAACAGTCAATAAATCCAAATGAAACCTTGATTGGGCTGTCTGTGGGCTTGTGTGGTAATGCCTCACATGTGATGAACTCTCAACAAATGTTTTTTAAATTGAATTGGAATCTTCCATTTCTATAGTAGCATATTTTGTACCTTCAGGCAAAACTTGATTTTAATGTGTTGTTTTTGTATGTGTTTGCTTGTTTCTTGAGTAGCTGATGGATTTACAACTGAGTGACAGTAACTTTCGTCGACACATCCTGTTGCAATATCTCATTTTATTCCAATATCTCAAAGGACAGGTCAAATTCAAAAGGTAAGATAAAATAGGTAGTAAACAATTTGTAAAAGTAGCCGAGAGAAAAAAGGACTTGCTTATGATTTTTCTTATGTATCATGTCTGTTTCATGTATAAGGGCTGCATCCCTAAAACACATGTATTGCAGCTGATTATTGAAGGCTTTTAGTTATTAGGATATTTGTTTAAGGAAAAGATGTTAAATATGTCTGTCAGTATGAGTTTTTCCTGCCCAACTCCAGGGCTTACCAGGAGTTGTCAATTTTATTGGCAGGTGGAGGTCTCTGCCCCAAATTTCCATCATTCCCTTCTCACCTCCTCCAAAGCTGATTTGCAGACTAAGCCAGTAATACATATCTCATAAGGTGTGGAGCTGTGTAGGACATTTGAGCTAAAAGTTGCAAAACAAATCCTTAAGCAAAAAGGAGTTCATTTCTTCGGAGTTTCACAAAACCTCGTTAGACTGTCTGCTGTCTATCTAAATCCCTCCATTCATTTCCTTCTGTCTTGTCCATAAATGAAAGTAGAGCTCAGTTACTTGACAGTATTTGTGTTAAGGATACTGAGCAATGCAGTATTAGTTATATAATTACTTTGCTACCTGCTGGGTTCGCATCCTAGGCTTGTCATTTGCTGGCTGTAGTACAGCTCTTTCGGATTTGTAATTTTAAGGTACTATAGCACATGCTAAACACTCAAAAAATGTTATTTCTTATCCTATCTATTTTGGAGGTTTGGTGTAGCCTACTAGAAAGATCAAGGACTTTGGAGTCAGACGTAGGTTTGAATTAAAGCTTTATGGCCTTGAGCAAATCATTAAACAGACTATAAACCATAGTCTGTTTAATATGTAAAGTGTTCAGATCCTAGCTATCAATATTTATAGGATGGCTTTAAATCACGTAGTGCATAATGAGAGCTCAATTAACGGCCGCTGTTAGCAATTTGGGTTTGCCTGTTGCCTTTTCTAGGGTTTGGGTGTTTTTATTTGTTGTATTTTGAATGTATCTTAAAGGAATGTAGTATGCCAGACTGAACGTGCATTATGTATACAAATATCTTAGTATCAAATCAGAGGTTTTCATTTCACATTCAGCTTATTTTAGGAAACATTTATTGCTCTGTTCATAGTTAATCTGATGGATTAATTGAATGTTTTATTCTCCCGCATATGCTTTTATGTTCTCAGTACCAACCTTGAGGAATAAGTGCAAGAATTTTATCTTAATCCTCTCATTTGTGACTATGCTTATCTTGGTACTTTTTGACACTATCCACAGTGTAGTTACATGTTGCATGCCTGTGTTTTTTAAACCTTAAAATTGAATATGCATTGCTGTAACTTATGCATGCTTTCATTGCTTTGTTCCCTAGTTCAAACTATGTTTTAACTGATGAACAATCACTTTGGATTGAAGATACTACAAAATCAGTTTATCAAGTAAGTTCAACACGCAACAAACCCATGATTGAAAAAATGGAAATTTAGAATTTTCTTTGTTTCAGCCCCAAATAGGAAAATAAGGATAAAGTTAAGCTCAGGTACAAGACCACAAACACTCCTTGGTTCTCTGCCTGCAAACCACTCCTATGATGCAGAAAGTTGTTGAAAGCTTAGTATATTCTTTCTAATCACAGCTACTATCTGAAAACCCCCCCGATGGAGAAAGATTTTCAAAGATGGTAGAGGTATGTGATTTTTATGTTTACATCCTCTTTTTAGCACAAAAGAGAATTTCAGAGGATTCCATTAACCAAAATATAATTTCTTTGTTTTTTCCAGCATATATTAAACACTGAAGAAAACTGGAACTCATGGAAAAATGAAGGTTGCCCAAGTTTTGTGAAAGAAAGGTAAATATATACTCATCACAAGAACTATAAGAAAGGTTTTTCAAAGTATGCTTTAATATGATTATAGCATGTAAAGATACGTGTATGTATTTCATATAAAAAATGTAAGTTGAACTCTGTAAGTGTACAATCACTTTGATGTACCTCTGTTTGTATTTTTTTAATCTCAAAAGTTTCTCGTCATTAAGTTCCTGGAGCAAATGTCTATATAAATTATTGAGAAAACTGTATATATACTCTGTGTAATTTGCCCTATAATGTGGCATTTTTGTCTTATTTCTGATAATTGTTCTATCAGAATATGAAGTTTTCATCTTTTGTTTTGAGATGGAGTCTCACTCTGTCACCCAGGCTAGACTGCAGTGGTGCGATCTCAGTTCACTGTAACCTCCACCTCCCAGGTTCAAGCAGTTCTCATTCCTCAGCCTTACGAGTAGCTGGGATTACAGATGTGCACCACCATGGCCAGCTGATTTTTGTATTTTTAGTAGAGACAGGGTTTCACATGTTGTCTAGGCTGGTCTCAAACTTCTGAACTTGGGTGATCCACTACCTCGGCCTTCCAAAGTGCTTGGATTACAGGCGTGAGCTACTGTGCCCAGCCAGTTTTCATCTTTTAAGAGGAAAACAATAACTAAATTTTCTTTTACATTAAACATTCTTCTATTTCTGCTATCCATTTGTAATTAAAAAAATAGCGTATGTTTTGTTCTCCACAGAACATCAGATACCAAACCTACGAGAATAATTCGGAAGAGAACAGCACCCGAGGACTTCCTAGGGAAAGGACCCAACAAAAAAATTCTGATGGGAAAGTAGGTGAACTTGTCTTTATGTGGAATGTTCTTATTTTTGTATTTGAATATGTTACTATAAGAATTCTCCATCTTTTAACATCAAATGGCTGTGCCACTTTTTTCCATTTCACGGACAGTAGAATTGTTTAGATTGATGCAGCTCACTTCTGTTGTTGCAAGATATCATAATCCTTGAGTTCTCTTACCTTCCAGTTAAAATTCAAATTCATTGCTTTATATTATGCTTGAATATTTTTAGAAAAAAACCTAAAGATTATGTCATTATTAGTCAGAATTATAATAGATAATATGCTTATATAGAGAATAATCTTAGGTATTTTAAATACCAGAAATTATTGAGAAAAGTAAAACTCATACTATCAACATCCCCAAATCTGTTGTTTACATTGTATTGTTTTTCTGTTCAGTTTCAAGGCACATGAGGATGGTGTCCATAAAAAATGTATTTATTTGTGTATCTCTTTTGTAGTGAGGAGTTAACAAGGCTTTGGAATCTCTGTCCTGATAATATGGAAGCCTGCAAATCAGAGACAAGGCAAGTTCAACATTTTTCAAATGAAGTGTTGCTTTTGTCAAGTGCTGAGTAGAATGGAACCTTTTCTCAGCTATGAAAAGAGCTCAAATGAAATTTAAGTTTTTTGTGGTTGACTTTGGCACAGTAGAGTATGGCTTCCCACCATAAAACACCTAGAAGCTCTGATAAAATAATTTTAGAAATCACAAAAAAATAAAGATTCTCAAAAGGAATCAAAACAAATAGAAGAGTAAGCCTATGAACTGATATGGTTCTGTGGGAGCAGCACTAATGATTCCAAGCTTTGAGAACCAGGGAACTTGGATTTTAATAGTCACAGAAGGACAGAAAGGCCTTAGGCCTGCACAAATTTGTGAGCGAGTTTCCCCTGAACAAAACTGAAATTGTTGAAGCACTACACATCTGTAAAAGAATGGCAGGGTGAGGGCATGCTCACTGGCACAGGAAACAAGGAAGCTTATCTGTCTTTGCCAAGGTGTAGGTGACAGGGAAAAGTACTCCCTGAGAAATTGTAACCATAGTCTGCTCTTGGGCAGTGTTAACAGTTTAAATTTTTCCTACCAGCAGTAGGAAAAATCCTACCTCAAGCTAAGATAGTGAGCTAGAAAGTCCCATGCTGGCAATAAAAATCTTTCTGAAGGTCCCACCTTCAACCCAAACTAAACAAAATTCCCACAGATAAGTATCTAAAATTATATTCACAAGGTTATTAAAAAAAATAAAACCCAAAGATAAATTCGCCATCCAAACTTACACAACTTTCAGTGAAACAGTCCACAATGAGCAAGAACTAGCAGACAGAACAAGCAACAGAAGTTGGCCACTTTAGATAATAAAATCATAAGATAAAAGCTGTAAAATAAGTATATTTCAGAAAATTAAAATAAGGAATTGAAAACACAGGGACATGACACTATCAGAAAGGACAAGGCAAATTTGAAAAACAAGTAATACTTCTAAAAACGAGAAAATATAGTCATTGAACTTGCAAAATGGACAGGTTTAATAGCAGTCTAGACACAGGTAATTTAAGAATTAATGAGTCAATAAGTGATTAAGAACTCACCCAGAAAGCAATACAGAAGGAGCAGAGTTAGAAACAATGACTTAATGATAGTTGAGGAGGTCCAGCAAACATCTAATGGCAGAAAGAAGTAATAAATAATGTGAAAGAGGCAAAATTGAGTTAATGATTGAGAATAGGCATGAATTCATAGGATCAAGAAATATAATACTTGAGGATAAACCAAGTAAATCCATATCTCTGTACATGAAGTCAACAACCAAAAAAACCTACAAAGGAACAAAGTTAAACTAACAGTTGACTTCAAGAACAGAAGAAATCAGATGAGTGCTTAAAAATGTCTTTCCCATGCTCTATTACTTCTTTCTGCCATTAGATGTTTGTTGGACCTCCTTAACTATCATTAACTCATCATTTCCAACTCTTGCTCCTTCTGTATTGCTTTCTGGGTGATTTCTTAATCATTAGTTAATCCATTAATTCTTACTTTACCTATGTCTAGTCTGTTATTAAATCTGCCCATTTTGTAAATTCAGTGACTGTATTTTCTCATTTCTAGAAGTATTGCTTGCTTTTTCAACATTTCAACTCCAAATTCTGTAACAAGTTAAACAGTTGTAGTTAATTGAGTTATTGAATAAAACTATGAGAAATTATCAACAGTCCCTAGTAAGAAAGCTGTCTTAAGGAAACTGAACCCAGAAAGGAGTAAATTGCGGAGAGGATTACTATGTAAACTCTTTGGTAAACATGAAGAAATCTTATTAATAATTCACTGTATGAAATATTAATAATTATTATTTGGGGTTATTTTAAAAGATAAACTTGCCAAAGGTGACATGTAAGACAAAAAGGAGTGGTCAGAATTTTAAAATGTTAGGGTTTAAGTCAAACATGCTTGAAAAGTATGTGAAATAAATGGAATGTGTAATTTTTAAATAAATTGAGGGGTAAAAAGTAGATACAGAAAATTTAAGCAAGTAAATAGAAGGAGAGAAGAAAAAAGCACAGAAAACAACTGAAAGTACAAAACAGTATGGTTAAATTTAAACATAAATGGAAATGGCTCTCTAGCTCAAAGACAGAAATTAGTGTTATATTTTAAAGATCATCTATGTGTTTATAAGAAATATACTTTAAAAATAAAGATATAGAAAAGTTGAAACTGAAATAATTTTTAAAAGATATTTTTAAAAGGCATAATTATATTGATATCAAGCAGAAAAGGCTTAAAAGTGGAAAGCATTATTAAAAATAAAGGCAATCATTGCCTAAAGATAAAAGGAAAAAATAGAAATATATACATTCTAAACTTTATTTTCCAAGAATATATTCTCAAAACTTTGACAGAATTAGAATGAGAAGTTGATCTAGGGTCACTTTTAACCTTCCACCACCCAGAAGACCCACCATCTAGTAGAATTTGGACAGACCTTTTACAGAATTTAATAAATTTCGTAGAAAAAATTTAGTGTCATTTAGAATTTAACAAAATAATTTAACAGGCTGGGTCTTACAGAAATCACAAGTTTATGTAAATGATATGTGAATAGCAAAAGCTAAAACACTTAAAACTTCTTTAAACACACTTCTAAATAACCCCTGAATCAAAGAAGAATCATAATGGAAATTAGAAAATCTAGTGCCAAATGATAATGAAAACACTACATGTTCAGATTTTGAGATCTAACTCAATAGAACACAGAAGAGAAATGTAGAGTCTTAAGTGTTTATACTTTCAAAAAGAATGAAATCTGAAAACCAAGCTAAGAGTCTAGCACTGAGAGTCACTCAGAAGAGAAGTAAATTATAGACAGTAGAAAGTAAAATAAGATTAGAAATCAGAAAAACCACCAACAAACAATGGAGAGGATCAACAAAACCAAAAGATTTTAAGACCAGGAAAAATGGATAAAATTCTAGCATGATTAATAAATAAAATTAGATTCCTGCCAAATATATGACAGTAAATCAACCCAGTAGAAAATGGACAAAGGAATAGTCAGATTCAGAAGTAGAAACCTTAATAAACCTCTGAAAAGATGCTGAGCTTCACTAGTACCTAGAAGTACAATTAAAAACTACAGCAGGCGGTTTCACAGCTAAGAGATTCAGTAATTTAAAAATACCCAGATTCTGTAATTGTGAATAAAAATAATTTGCCAGTGCTGCTGTAGGAATCTGATGGTACAGCCACTCTATCTGAATGTTAGAGATGTCTGTGCCCCACTAGTAGGTGTATTGATCAGAATAGTGTTTTTAAAAATTCAGTTTGAGAATTACTGGTGGTTTGTAAAGTCAATTTAGTAATTTCAACTAGCATTTTTTTAATCAAATAGGAAATAATACTTTTGTGAAATATTAGCTTTACTTATATATACGGTTATTCTAGTTGCGGTCTGTGTGTACTGGGTTGCAATATAAAATGAATTTCTTACTGTGGGTTGCAGTGGAAGTTTGAAGGCCCAGTGCCTGAGGAAATCAGCTCATCTACAAGGAGACTGGTGCAAGAATGTTCATTTAACATTGTCAAAGCAAAGAGTGGGAAAACAACCTAAACATCTCTGGATAGGACATGGATAACTTGTGGCATGTTCATAAAGTGGAATATAGTATATATAGCATTGGAAGGTGAATGAATATTGGAATAGTTTTCTTTAGAGAACCCATTTTCCTAGTTTTAGTCTAGAAGATGTCTTCTGATCCTGAGATCTCATTTCTTTGCTTGACACTGTATCAAAATTTTATTTCTAAAAACAAATTTAAGAAAGATGCATTTTAAAAATCAACCATGCTACCATGGTAACAATTTAAATAAGAGCTAAAAGTTAAACTCTTGAAATCATATTATGGTCTGATTATTAGTTTTGGTTTAATTTTGGTTTAAAGAAAAAATTCATGGATGGGTACATAAAGTTTCTGTTTGCTGGTAAAATTCAAATGCTATACAATCCTCTGGCTGGTCTCTTTGAATAGCAACATATTCATATATTATAGTGAGTAATTAGTGTATATCATATTACATATGTAGTAAATACCATATAATATTGTTTAGTATTAGACTATCCTTTATTTATTGTCCTTTTTGAATTTAGTTTTGAGGGTTTCCCTTCCTTAAAAGTCTGGAGTTCCCAAGTAATCAAAACTGTAACTAAAAGTATGAGACCATTAGAATCTTGTCTTGCCACCACTTTATGAGTATTTATTATTAAGAATATATGTGATCCTTACTAGTTATTTTATAATGCTCAGGGAATATATGCCCACTTTGGAGGAATTCTTTGAAGAAGCCATTGAACAGGCAGACCCGGAAAATATGGTTGAAAATGAATATAAGTAAGTAATGTTTCTCATTAGCTCATTTTAATTTTCTCCATTTTTTTTTTCTTAGGAATTGTGTGTATAGTAGAAAGCTTATTAAGAGAGGCAGTTGATAGAGTAGTGATTTTTCTCTTAGCTGAGTTTATGTTCCAAGTTCATGTTGGTACACATCCTGATTTCAAGGATTATTCCTATTAACTAAGGATGACTTAGAATCACCCTTGTTTCAAAATATAAGAAAAAAAATTCCCCAACTCCTATTTCTCTCCAACTATTAGTTCTTTTCTCTCTCTCTACCCTTTAAAGTACAGTATCGCACAGCAGCTGTAACCTATCCTGTTCCCCTCATGTAATATTTTCTTCTCTTGGCATCCATGAGAATCCAAATCCTTGGCCCTACTGTTTGCTCTTTGCCCTCTCTGCCCACTCCACCTCACATTCCATTTCAGGCGCCTCATCCTCTGCCCAAATCAAATTTTGGAGTAACATCAGGACTCGGTCTCAGCCTCTTTATCTAGAACCTTCTGGGTCACACCAGTCTCATGGCTTTAAATAGCAATTAAAGAGTAGCGAGTTAAAGGCAAGGGCACTCTTGTCAGAATGCATAGGTTCCGATCCCCTCCACCACTTACTTACGAGGCGACTAAGGCTGATTTAATAATTGAACTACTACGTCCTTTTCCTCATCTGTTAAATAGTAACAGAACCCATTTCACAAGGTTATACTGAAGATTAAATAAGACAATTTGCTTTCGACCATTCATGGCATGTAGTTAGTACTCAATATTCGTGACTAATGTGACCCTGTGACCAGTTATTAATTACTGTGACCTCTTAACTAGTCTCTCTAGCTGTGGTCAGTATTCCATGCATCAGCCAGTGATCTTTAAAACAACTGTCCAAGTCTAATCTGCTTAAAATCTTTCAGTGAGTACCTATTCCAAACTCCTTCCTAGGGCCTAAAAGACCTCCTCGGTCTGGATCACACACTCCTGTGTAGCTATGCCTCCCCTCTGCTTTAACCAGAGCAGGCCTGTTGCTCTCTGCTTCAAAGGTCTTTTCCTTTCCTGTCAGGACCTTTGCACTTCACTGTCTCACTTGCTTGAACCACTTTTCCCCAAAAGTTCCTGTGACTTTAAGTCCCTCTGGCTAGGAAGCTCCTTCCCTCCCCGGTCTCCTCTTTTGCATTAATGGTTTTTATTTAATGGCACTTACCGCTATCCAAAATTCTCATTTCTCATGTTTTTCTCATCCTTACCACTGTCTGAAATTGTCTTATACCTTGTATGTTTATCATTAATGATGCCTGCTGACACATTCCATATTACTGTGCGTCAGGTACTTTCCACAGCTACTGAGTGCCTGGCTCAAGTGTTTGTTGATTGAAAGAATATTAATTTATCACTGTTACATAAGACTAGGTGGACTCATTCCTAAAGTGATAGTTCAAATTATTATCTCCAGAGAGGGTTTTGTGGAGAATAAGAAAAATTATGTGTAGAATTGACAGTGAATTTTGCAAATGCCTCAAAAAATCAAGTTGTTTAAACAGATATGTCAGAGAGGAAGGCTCTTTAACTGTTTAGGTAAAGCCTCACAGCAGGTGTTAACTTGGAACCCGAGTCCCCAATGTATAGGGGTAGTTTTTGTTAAGTCTTTAGCGGTACCTGCACATCCTAATGGTAACCTAGGCTCATTTAGATGACCAAATAAATCTAATTGTTATTCTTTAGGGGAGGGAGAGTCTTTCAGTCCAAAACTCTAAAATGAATTTGTGGCTTGGTTTCTTCAGCAGCATTGCCTTTTTCTGGAGCATTATCTTTAGAATTTCTCTGCGGTTCCTGTCTCTCACCTGATCGTGTAACACCTTGACCATTGCTGTACTTCATTAGGGAGGAGTTGATGGATTCTATTCTCGATACCGCTATTTACTGTGTTGGCTACTGAATGTTTATTTTCTAATATTTGAGCCACACTGAGGTTGATATTGTGAATTACAGTTTAAATGTTATATAAATAGAAGCCCAAATATTCATTAAATTAGTATCAAAAGTCAATGCTGAATTTATAAAATAGTCTGAGACTCACATCTGCAGATGACATTACAAGTATGGATGTCAACTCACCAAATATAAGTATCTATTATGGATGTCTGTGTTTTCAGAGACTAGATGGATGATTCCTGTCATATACATACTGCATCCAGCCAGTACTGCACACACTTGTTGACTTGTTAAAATTAAACAAAATGTATGGAAATTTTGAAAATGTGTCTGCTGCATGTGAACCCGCCTCTTCAGACATTGTTGGTTCCTGTTACTAGTTATATGTGCATCTGTTGGTTGGTTATCAGTGGACTATATACTGAAAAGTTCTTTAGGAATAGGATTCAAATTAAGAGAATGGGACTTTGAGCTCTTAATCTTAAATATAGAATTGCACATGGCAGAACTAAGTAGAAGGGAATACAGAAATAGAAAACCATAAAATACAAGCCTGACATCTCTTTTTATAGGGCTGTGAACAATTCAAACTATGGTTGGAGAGCCCTGAGACTATTAGCACGGAGAAGTCCTCACTTCTTCCAGCCAACCAACCAGCAGTTTAAAAGTTTACCAGAATATCTTGAAAATATGGTAATAAAGCTAGCCAAGGAATTACCGGTAAGTACCATAGATTAGCTTTTCATACCCTTTAGTTGACTTCTTCTTTAAAATTGCTATTGCTATGTGAACAAAAAACCCAGTTAATCATGTAAAAACACAAGCTCCCATGTTTTAGAATGAGGGAGAAACACATTTAAATACACATTTACAGGAAATACATAAGTTGATAAACTAGTAACTGATAATTTTCTGTATAGCACGGGGCCAGGCGTGGTGGCTCACGCCTGTAATCCCAGAACTTTCTGAGGCCAAGACAGGTGGATCACAAGATCAGGAGATCAAGACCATCCTAGCCAACATGGTGAAACCCCATCTCTACTAAAATACAAAAAATTAGTCAGGCATGGTGGTGCACACCTGTAGTCCTAGCTATTCAGGAGGCTGAGTCAAGGGAATCGCTTGAACCTGGGAGGCGGAGATAGCAGTGAGCCGAGATTGTGCCACCGTACTCCAGCCTGGCAACAGAGCAAGACTCTGTCTCAAAAATAACTAAGTATGTTGAAAAATCTTTGGTGATGAAAAAGAAAAAAAATAATAAAATTCATGGTACTTTGGGTAAACTGTTAAGCACCTATACATGCAGACATGAATTTTTCCTGTTTGCCATTGCATTATATTGTCTTTTTTCAAAGAAAAAATAATCAAACTTTTAAGAACACTTGCTACTGCCTTCCTGCTTCCCAGATTGGGGGTGGGGAGTCTAAGTGGGGTCTTCCCCAGTTCACTCCTTCTGCAGGTGAAGACAGTCCCACTTAGAAACCTTACCTGACACTGTCATTTAACAATGTCAGGGGTGAAATTCTGATGCCCTGTACTTGGAATCTTACAACCATCCTTATCTAAACAGAGTACCTGCTACGTTACTTTAGAGGCTGGCATTCTTTCAAACATTCTTCTTTCTCATTTTTAGCCTCCTTCCGAAGAAATAAAAACAGGTGAGGATGAAGATGAGGAAGATAATGATGCTTTACTGAAGGAAAATGAAAGTAAGAATTGCATTTGCTTCGTTATTTTACAAAAATTGAAGAAGATTGGGGTTCTTTGTTGATAGGTACATTATTTAATTTGGTCAGCTTCTCAACGTCTCCCATTTTATCTCGACTGTTGCTTACAGTGAGGAATTTAAAACATTGCTTAGTAATCTTTAAAAATACTACATTTATGCAATAAAATTGGGAAGTAATCATGATACTTTGAAAGGGAAAGAAAATACCTTTGAAGGCAACCCATACCTCTGTTAATTATTGGTGATTGGAGGGGGAGCAGCTAATTTCAGAGAAAGCCTTCATAATTGTAACAGATGTAACAGCTTTAGCTTTGATGACTGACCATGCTTATTAAGAGTGGTGTTCAGCCGGGCGCGGTGGCTCAAGCCTGTAATCCCAGCACTTTGGGAGGCCGAGGCGGGTGGATCACGAGGTCAGGAGATCGAGATCATCCTGGTCAACATGGTGAAACCCCATCTCTACTAAAAATACAAAAAAAAAAAAAAAAATTAGCTGGGCATGGTGGCGCGTGCCTGTAATCCCAGCTACTCAGGAGGCTGAGGCAGGAGAATTGCCTGAACCCAGGAGGTGGAGGTTGCGGTGAGCCGAGATCGCGCCATTGCACTCCAGCCTGGGTAACAAGAGTGAAACTCCGTCTCAAAAAAAAAAAAAAAGTGGCGTTCAACTTACGAAAAATATTAAAAAATAATTGTTTACTTTTAAAATAAAGTCTACTAAAGGTGATTAATAATTCATTGGCCCCATAGCTTTCCATTTCTGTTGTATACTTAGAATTGCACATGTCCTTATACTTTGCACATAATTTATATTATTTTCATTTTCTAGGTCCTGATGTTCGGCGAGACAAACCTGTAACAGGAGAACAAATAGAGGTATTTGCCAACAAGCTGGGTGAACGATGGAAGATTCTGGCTCCCTACTTGGAAATGAAAGACTCAGAAATTAGGCAGATTGAGTGTGACAGTGAAGACATGAAGATGAGAGCTAAGCAGCTCCTGGTTGCTTGGCAAGATCAAGAGGGAGTTCATGCGACGCCCGAGAATCTGATTAACGCACTGAATAAGTCTGGATTAAGTGACCTTGCAGAAAGTCTAACTAATGACAATGAGACAAATAGTTAGCTTCTTTTTTTCTTTTTATTAAAACTGTGATAAGATTTTGTTACCAAGCAGCATTTGATAAGAGGTCCACTGGTTTTGGTAAACAATAAACATTTTTATAACAATTGTTGTACAGTCGGCTGGTGCTCTAAGAACAATAGAACACATATTGGCTCAAACCAGAGTTTGGGGAAGTTGGGAGGGTGGGTTGAGAAAATGACCTAAATGAAGTGACCTCAAGATCACAAAACATATTTCTGTTAAGTAGATGTATTTATAATGAAGTGAAATAAGCACTACTTAGGGATATGTTGTTTCCTATACCAAATTAGTTTCCTGTGTGCTGTTAGTAGTTACAAAATCTAGCTATCCTGAAATCCCAGAATAACACTTCCTGAAACCATATGACTGTTCTGTTCTCACTTATTCGTGCTTTCAAGCAGAGGATCAGCAAATGATGGTCTGTTCTCCCTGCTGTGAGTCTTGATCGTTAAAATTGTACTGGCACCCAGCTGTGCTCACTCATACTGTCTGTAGCTCCAGCTACACTACAACAGCAAAGCTAAGGAGCTGCAATGGACACTTGATAGCCTGCAAAGCCTGAAATCTTTACTATCTTGTCCATTACAGAAAATGTTTGCCAACTTTTTAAAAGACATGAGGTCTTAAAACCTCACTTTTCTTCTTTCTAGCCTTACAAAAACTGCCTGACCTCTCAAATCTTTTAATCACTTCAGGGATTCTTGTGACAATCATTTAAATGAGATGTATGTGAAAGCACCCTAAACACAGCAAAGCACTAGGTAGTAGCGGAAGGCGATAGTACCACCGACTTTTCCTGTTCCCCCATAAACATTTCTTTTTAGGGCTCCAAGATGAGGTCACCATTGTCTTTAATCCTGAAGAAGGGCTACTGAGTGCAGATTATTCTGTAAACGCTCTTGCTTGGGCCTAACCAACTTGTAGTCAAGCAGTGATCTAGCACAGCTCTAATGCTGAAATGGCCTCGGTGTGAGTGGCACAGCATATAAGGCACATTCAGGAATCAAGACCTTTTTTTTTTTTTTTTTTTTTTTTGCCTACTCTCCCCTTCTCAAAAAGACCTGACACAAGGCCGAATTCTAAAATATCCTATTAGTTTAAAACAACACTGGTATAATTCCCATTTCCACTTGAGAAAATTCTTTGGAATAATGCTTTTTTAGATCAAATAAAATGAAATCAAGCTTTTTATAATGATAACTATAATTTTAAAAATTCTAATATGTAGCATACAAGGCTCTACACCTCGCTCACCTGGTCTGGTGGTAGCTACAGCATCTAGTAGCTACGGTCAGAAAATCTAAATTCTAATTGTTCAATTCATGTCAATAAAATTGTTCTGACCAAATGACACAATGAATAAAAAAGACTTTGCAAAGTTACAGGCATCATACAAGTATACATGAACCATTATAATTCTTAGGGTCTCATCCTCCTTATTCTATTCTTACTCCCCTCCACAAAGTAGAAAGTATTGATTGCCAAGCCAAAGTTTAGGTGAGGAAGCTATTTACAAATAAATTTCCCTGCAATGCTTATTTTAGCCCCTAGTGTTCACAGATTATATCACATCAGATATGAAAGCAAATTGCTGTTACTTTCTATTTTTCATAGTTATCAGTGTTGTGCTCCACAGAGTATTAAAACAATATACACAAAGAAATATATGAGATGTCATGATAATCCTCAAACTTTATTATAGTCTTAACTCAAAATCAGAGCCAAACTGGCTGGCAGTCTATTCTTTATCCTTTCCTCCCTAGCAATCAGTCAAGGGTCCTGGAACAAAGATTAGTAACTAATGTATTAAAATGTAAGAAGCCTATCATATTGAAATATCTCATATGCTTGGTGTTTTCTAACATCACCTTAAAAAAATCACTAAAATTCTAAAATGTACATTAAGATTTGGGTTTTTTTGTTTTGTTTTGGAGAGTCTCTCTGACACCCAAGCTGGAATGCAGTGGCATGATCTCAGCTCACTGCAACTTCTGCCTTCCAGGTTCAAGCAATTCTCCTACCTTAGCCTCTCAAGTAGCTGGGATTACAGGTGTGCACCACCAGGCCCGGCTAATTTTGGCATTTTTAGCAGAGACGAGGTTTCACCATGTGACTGGGCTGGTCTTGATCTTAACCTCAAGTGATCTGCCCACCTCACTCCCAAAGTGCTGGGAATACAGGTGTCAGCCACTGCACCCAGCCAAGATTGGGGGAATTAAGAAAGGAAATACACAAAACACCAACTGAGCCAACGACGAATCTGACTGATAACATCACTGCATTTGGCATCCAGAGAAATCCATTACTTTTTACAACTTTGTATTTCTTTTTAAAATACAGGCAGGCAGAGAAGATAAATATTTTTAAATGGATGCTTAACAGCACAGTGTTAATAACCATCTTCAGAAATTGTACAGTATTAAACATATTTGAATCTTAAACCAAGCTCCAACACTCAGAAGACAAAAGACTTGAGGTCAAAAGCTATTAATCCCTCTTTTTTTTTTTTATTAAATGTCCCCATTTTCTAAAAATAACCAGAGCTTGTCAACATTTTCTTAAGACTGATTATTACAAAGCCATTCCAAAGTTAAATGTACAATCCACAGTACATCAGAGACACAATAATAAATGTATAATCAAATGTACTATTATTGATCACAATTTATTTTAAAGTTATGAAAAGCCAGCAACAGGCTGGACAAATACTTGATTGTGCCCATGTTTCCATGGGATGGACAGCAGCACTAGAGTTACACAATGAGGGCAACACTTCCTTTTCCACCTTCCTGGAAAAAGTTGGTTAGATAAGGCAAAGGATGGGTGGCTACAGAATGGTGGTTTGAACCATGCAAGAACAACAAATAATAGGTAATAGGTGTGCAATAAACATCTGATTGCTGAATCTTGGGTGGAAAAGCAAGGAAAATGACTACAGAAGGGAAGGGTTGAAAGGCATTTCAACTCAGAATTTTTAAAAATAATGCAAGAAATAATAAGCTTTTTAAAAATGTCTTCCTGCCACCTTCATATAGGGTGGCACAAGCCAAAGATAATTTTCTTTTCTGTAATTTTTTTAGGCTGATGCACAGAGTGGTCTGCCTCTGCCCTCTTTTGTTCCAAATGAGGGGAAGCATAAACCACCTCCGTGTCTTTTTCTTCTAAAGCTCTGGATTATAGAAATAATCAACAAATAACATTTATTTTCACATCTAAGCATAAATAACTAAAATGAAGATCACTATTCACTTTCCTCTTCCATTATTTCAACTCTGCGAGGCCCATAGAGTAGAACATAAGCGATATGCCAGTCTCCACCACCAGAAAGCCGTAAGATATCTTCTGGTGTTACGATGCTGACTTTGTCATCATCAAACTTAATCCATTCATCTAAATCACAAGGGAGAAGACGATAAATTAATGTTATGGAGGATGCTAATGAGTTCCACTGCAAAAAAGGTATCAAATCATCGGAGGCATACCACTGCTCCATCGGCCACACCAACAGTCCTCCAAGTGCGGCCCAGTGACCACACAGGCTCCAGGGCACTGCAGGGGTTCCATCAGGTTACAACCACTTCAATGACACTACTAGAGCACTGCTTACCTTTTCTACCCTTTCTCTCGAGTGTACTCTGGAATTTTCCAGAGGCTACATAATGTATGGATAGATAATGCAACAGACTGAATGCAGACCCTAACAGGAGAACCTGTCTGCCTTCTATTTAAGTCAGACAACAGAAAGACTTATAAAAATGTAAATCAGTACCGTTTCTCATTTTGTTTTTATGTTAATACATAATGGGCTATTACTATCATTTTTAAATGAACTGATTCTTTTAATTTCTCAATTTTAATTTCTAAGATAGTAAATATTAAGAGATGCAAACCTCATAAACCAAAGCTCTTTTGGGCTTCAAGAATGTAAACTGGTTTTGAGACCCAAAGTTTGAAAACCATACTGCCACACAATTTATAATCAATAAACTTAAAATAATATTGAACCACTGAAAAAAGAATACCCTTTACCTTGTTTCCTTTTCACCCATGATACATAATGTCCTGAAGAACTAGACCTTCCCTGGTGTGTTAGTACTGCTTGTAAGTCATAGTATCCACAATTATTGGAGCCAATATCTAAAGAAAGATGTAAATCCATTAATATTAAGACAATGAATAGACAGGTGCCTTCTCAAGCTAAGTAACAATCAAGAATAACTCTAAAGTGCACATTAGTGAAGTACTATATTATCAGAATCCAGTAAGATACTACTGTCCAGTCACAGTTAAGGCTTCATGATTGATGTTTTAAGAAGTAACTTACTCATAGAACTGTATGCCAACAAGAGTAATTTTACTATATGTCATATTAAGGTAAATTGTTTAAGAAACCTGACATTTTGTTTGAAAAGCAAATCGGAATAAATAAATATGAGCAAGACATAAATATTACCTTAAAAAAACATATATACAATAACTCAATTGAAATTAAAATGTTACTTACCATCAGCAAAAGAAAAGGGTTCATACTTAACTTCTTTCTGGGGACTACTCTTTTTGTCACTCTAAGGGGAAAAAATGTTTAATTTTAAATCATGATTTTGGAAGTAAAATTTGCATTCTCTGTTAAGTGTTCAATTTAATAAATATTCATTGTCTACAGTGCAAAGCACAGAGACAAAATACAGTCTACCTTTCAAATTACTAAAATGATATAACTACAGTTAAAACTGTAAACCCAGTGGTCCTACAGTTTAACAATATAAAATCTTGTTAGATGACAGTAACAGACACCCTGAATGTGATGACCAATTTTAAACCACTAAGGTGAGAGCACAGCAGTGAATGTAGCAGTACAGTTAAACAGTGCTCTAGGGCAGAAAAGGAAAACCCAATTCCCCAATTTTACCAAAATACTGTCATATCACAGAGGTGGGAGAAAAAACCAACTGCTTCTAAAACAAGAGAAATGCCGGGCGCGGTGGCTCAAGCCTGTAATCCCAGCACTTTGGGAGGCCGAAGCGGGTGGATCACGAGGTCGAGAGATCGAGACCATCCTGGTCAACATGGTGAAACCCCGTCTCTACTAAAAATACAAAAAATTAGCTGGGCATGGTGGCTTGTGCCTGTAGTCCCAGCTACTCAGGAGGCTGAGGCAGGAGAACTGCTTGAACCCAGGAGGCGGAGGTTGCGGTGAGCCGAGATGGCGCCATTGCACTCCAGCCTGGGTAACAAGAGCGAAACTCCATCTCAAAAAAAAAAAAAAAACAAGAGAAGTTAAATTTCTGCAAATTTGTATTAACTCTCCTGAGCCACGTCCACTTGCCACGTCAGCACAAATGAAGTATTTTTCAGCAAAGACTTACCTACATTAAAGAGGCATGATTTAAATTAGACAAGGACTCTTAGGAGGAACTCACTGCCTCAACTCATTTTAGCATGTAACATGAGAAAAAGAACTTATCTAGGTATACAGCACAAAGTTCTTTAAAACTATAATGGTAATGAAGACAATACCAGCTGCTTACAGACAGCTGTGACGACAAGAAGTCAAAAGATTCCACAACAAAAAAATGGCAACTAGGTTAATCATACCTTTTTTATATAGCTAATGAAACACGTACAGCAACCATTAAAAAATATATACAAAGAAATAAATTTTAAAATACTATAACATAGGATTCTAAAACACAGTTCAAATAACTCACAGGAAGACAAATAAAAAGCAAAACAGCCAAAAAGCAGAATTAAACCCTAAATGTTAATAATTGCGCTGAACATAAATAGTCTATACCAATCGCATTTAAATTTAATATAATTTAGGCTGTGCACAGTGGTTTACACCTGTAATCCCTGCACTTTGGGAGGCCAAGGTGGACGGATCACTTGAGATCAGGAGTTTGAGACCAGCCTGGCCAACATGGTAAAACCCTGTGTCTACTAAAAATACAAATATTAGCCAGGCATGGTAGCATGTGCCTGTAATCCCAGCTACTCAGGCAGCTGAGGCACAAGAATTGCTTGAACCCAGAAGACAGAGGTTACAGTGAGCCAAGATCACACCACTGCACTCCAGTCTGGGTGACAGAGCAAGACTCAGTCTCAAAAAAATAAATAAAGTAATAGAATTTAAATCAAGTAAATGTGTTCTCTCACCACAATGGCACCAAACTAGAATCCACAGAAACATAAGAGGAAAATTACTTAGACGCTTCTAAATAATCCATGGTCAAAGAAAAAGTCTCAAGAGAAATTTTTAAAAATACAAACAACAGAATGAAAATGAAAATACCATTATCAAAATTCACAGGATATAGTAAAACCACTGCTGAAAGGGAAATTTATGCCACCAGGCAAGCAGAATAAAGGAAATAAGAGTAGAAATCAATATAATTAAAAACAGAAAATAGAAAAAAATCAATGAAACAAAGCCAATTCTTTGAAAACATCTATAAAATAATCTTCAAGCAAGGGGGGAAAACACAAATTACTAGTATCAGCCATGAAACAGGATGGATCTCACTCACTATACACCCTACAGAGACATCAAAAGGATAATAAATAAATACCAGAAACAACTCTACATACAAATTTGATAAGCTTATGAAATGGATCAATTCTGGGAAAACAAATTACCAAAATAAATACAATATGAAATAGATCATTTGAATAGCCCTGTACCTATGAAGAAAATTAAATCTGAAATTTAAAAACTCCTAAAAATGTGCTTACCTATGTTTAGGCAATAGAAAAATGAATGAATGAATGAATGAATGAAATAAACAAAAGCTTCTGAAAGTAAAATCTCTAAGCACAGATTGTATCATCAATTCTACCAAATGTTTCCAAAAAAAAAAAAAAAAAACACCAATTATACATAATCTCTTCAAAAAATTAATGGATAAAAACAGCTAATAAATTCAGCAAAGTCTGGCTGGGCATGGTGGCTCACGCCTGTAATCCCAGCACTTTGGGAGGCCAAGGTGGGCAGATCACCTGAGGTCAGGAGCTCAAGACCAGTCTGGCCAACATGGTGAAACCCCCTCTCTACTAAAAATACAAAAATTACCCGAGAATAGTGGCAGGTGCCTGTAATCTCAGCTACTCGGGAGGCTGAGGCAAGAGAATCGCTTGAACCCAGGAGACAGAAATTGCAGTGAGCAGAGATGACGCCACTGCACTCCAGCCTGGGCGACTGAGCGGGACTCTGTCTCAAAAAAAAATTAAAAAGTTAGCCAGGTGTGGTGTCGCACACCTGTGATCCCAGCTACTCAGGAGGCTGAGGCAGGAGAAGTGCTTGAGCCTAGGAGGCAGAGGTTGCAGTGAGCTGAGATTGTGCTACTGCACTCCAGTCTGGGTGACAGAGCGAGATTTTGCCTCAAAAAAATAAAATAAAATAAAAACAAATTCAGCAAAGTCAAGGATTTAAGATCCATATATAAAAATTCGTTTTATTTCTAGAGGCCTTACTAGCCACTCTAGACAATGAAATTAAGAAACGAATGCCATTTACAAAAGCATCAAAAAGAATAAACAATTTAGAAATAAATTTAACCAAAAAAGTCCAAGACTTGTACACTGAAAACTATAAAATAATGTGGAAAAAAAAATTAAAAGACCTAAATGCACAGAAAGACACATGATGTTTATGGACTGTAAGACTTAATACTTTTTTTTGTTTTTTTTGAGACAGAGTTTTACTTGGTCACCCAGGCTGGAGTGCAGTGGTACCATTTTGGCTCACTATGACCTCTGCTTCCAATGCTCAAGTGATCCTCCCTCCCACCTTAGCCTCCTGAATAGCTGGGACTACAGGCACGCACCACCACGCCTGGCTAATTTTTGTATTTTTTGTAGAGACAGGGTTTCGCCATGTTGCCCAGGCTGGTCTCAAACTCCTGGACTCAAGCAATCTGCCCACCTTGGTCTCCCAAAGTGCTAAGATTAGGCTTAATACTATTAAGATGGCAATACTTTTTAATTTATCCACAGATTCAATGTAATCTCTGTCAATCTTTTTTGAAGAAATAGACAAGATGATCCTAAAATATACATGGAAATGTAAGGGACTCAGAATAGCTAAAACAACTTGCATAAAGAAGAACAAAAGTGAAGGCTGATACTTCACAATTTCAAGCCTTATTAGAAAACTACAGTAATCAAGACAGTGTGGTATTAGCATTAGGACAAACATACAGACTAATGGAATAAAATCAATAGTCTAGAAATACACTCATACATATAGATGGTCAAATTAATCTCTACAAAGGTACCAAGACCATTTGATGGGCAAAGAACAGTCTTCTTAAAAAATGGTGTTAAGACAACTGACTATTCACATGTTAACTTTTTATATATATAGTGTGAGGTGTGGGTTCAAATTCATTCTGAACCCACACCTCACACTATATAAAAAGTTAACCCTCAATGGATCAAAGACCTAAATGAAAGAACTAAAACCACAAAACTCTCAGTAAAAAACATGTACGCATAAAACTCTGTGGCCTTGGACTAGGCAATGTTGGTTTTTGTTTGTTTGTTTGTTTGTTTTTGAGATGGAATCTTGCTTTGTTGCCCAGAAATGGAGTGCAGTGGCATCATCTCAGCTCACTACAACCTCCGCCTCCCTAGTTCAAGCAATTATCCTGCCTAAGTAGCTGGGATTATAGGTGCACACCATTATACGCAGCTAATTTTTTGTATTTTTAGCAGAGACACGGTTTCACCATCTTGGCCACGCTGGTCTCAAACCCCTGACCTCAAGTGATCTGCCTGCCTTGGCCTCCCAAAGTGCTGGGATTACAGGTGAGAGCCACCAAACCAAGCCTGGCAATGCTTTCTTAGATATGACACCAACAGCATAAGCAACCAAAGAAAAAAATACATTGGATTTCATAAAAATTAAAAAAAAAAAAAAAAAACCTTTCCTCTGCTAAAGACCGTAGGTTAAGAGGATGAAAACAAAGGCTACAGACTAGGAGAAAATATTCACAAACCACATATCCAACAAAGGTCTCGAATATGGAGAACACTCAAAATTCAAGAGTGAAAAAACAAACCAATTAGAAAACAGGGAAAAGACAAGATGAAGCACTTCACAAAAGAGGATATTCAGACAGCAAATAAACACATGAAGACATGCTCAACTTCGTCAGCCACTAGGGAAGTACAAGGGCAAACACAGTATCACTATAAACATATCCACAGGCTGAAATGAAACACAGTGACGACAGCAAATGCTGGTAAGAATGCAGAGAAAGTGAATCAGTCACACCTTGCTGGTGGAAATATAAACAGTACAGCCACTCTAAAAAATATATGGCAGTTTCTTGAAAAACTAAACATGCATCTACCATGCAATCTAGCAATTGTATTCCTAGGCATTCATTCCAGAGAAATGAAATTTATGGTTACATTAAAACCTGTACATGAATGTTTACAGCAGGTTGATTCAATACAGACAAAAACTAGAAACAATCCAGATGTTCTTCAATAGGTGAATGGTGAAGTAGATTGTGTTATATTCACACCAGGGAATATTGATCAGCAATGAAATATGCACAACAACCTGGATGAATCTCCAGAGAATTATGCTCCAGTGAAAAAGGGTATATTAAAAAGTGGAAGAGTTTTTATTTCATTTGTATAATTTTTTTTTTTTTTTTTTTAGAAACAGGTTCTTGCTTTGTTATACAGGTTGGAGTGCTGTGGCACAATCATGGCTCATTACAGCATTTAATGCTTAGCCTCAAGCGATCCTTCCATCTCAGTCTCCCAAGTAACTGGGACTACTGGTGCATGCCACCACATCCATCTAACTTTTCTATTTTCATACTTCATAGAAACAGGGTTTCACTACGTTGCCCAGAACAGTCTCAAACTCCTGGCCTAAAGCAATCCTCCTGCCTCAGATTCCCAAAGTGCTGGAATTACAAGCATACGCCACCATGCCTGGCCAACTTTCTTGAAATAACAAAATTATAGAAATGAATGGGTTGGTAGTTGCCAAGAATTAAGGAAGGGGTAGGGCAGAAGAGAAATGGCCCTGTGGCAATTATGCAAGATCTTTGTGGTGATGGAAATGTACTGTATTTTGATTGTATATCAAGGTCAATATCCTTGTTGTGATATTGTATTATACTTTTGCAAGATGTTACCACTAGGGAAAATGTACTCAGGATCTCCAAAATATTTCTTATAATTACACATGACTCTACAATTACCTCAAAATAAAGTTTAATTTTTTTAATTGCTTTTAACATATGCATACAAATTATCTGGAGAGTTTAACTTAAAAACTTATTTTTAGCAGGAAATCTTTTTCATTCTGAAGAATTCAAGATATAATTCAGCTGTATCCTATCAGAACCTAAAATAATACACTTTATTAAATATAAAGTTGCTATGGTTATGATTTTAGTAGTTACAGGCATATCAGCAGCACCTATTAAAAGATATGGCACAGTTGTCACGGTGGACATAAATGAACCAATGTTCTATACCACCAACTCCATCTCAAAATGGGGATAACCCTATACCTTACAAGAAAAATAACACATACTGAAAACACTAGGTAAAATTTTATGTGAAGTACTTTGAGGAGATAAGTATAAAAGGAATATGAGCTACAGATTATGGGGAGAAAGAAAATATTAAGCTTATTCTACCAAAAAAGACTTATTTATTCTAAGTAGAGTTCCTGTTTCTCATGCTAAGATACACCTAAAGGCCGGGCCTAGTGGCTCACGCCTATGATCTCCAGCACTTTCAGAGGCCAAGGCAGGCAGATCACCTGAGCTCAGGAGTTCAAGACCAGCCTGAGCAACATGGCAAAACCCTTTCTCTACCAAAAATACAAAAAAATAGCTGGGCATAGTGGTAGATGCCTGTGGTCCCAGCTACTTGGGAGGCGAGGTACGATGATCATTTGAACCTGTGAGGCTGAGACTGCAGTGAGCCTAGGTGACAATGGGAGACCCTGTCTCAAAAAAAAAAGGGAAAATAAAATAAAACACATGCAAAACTTTAAAGACCTGCACCAATATACATAAGAGGTGTATACCTGCTAATTAATGGTAATACAGATTCAGCCATTTTTATTAATATTATACAAAGTATAGTTCTGAAGGAAAAATGAAGCAGGGAAAAAAAAGTAATTGCTGAGCATTGATGGGAGATTAAGATATTAAGAGTAGAAAGTCAGCAGTAAGAACCTACTGTATTTGGCTGATTCACTTTTTTATCTTCTAGATCCTTGAATTTGGATCGAAAAGACACCATTTTCTCCTGAAGTTCTGGTGTACACAGTTCATACATATCCAACATAAGAGGAAATTTAACATCCTACATACAAACAAACAAAAAACATGTATAAACACTTTTATTAAGATACTTAAAGTATCACACATTTGAAGTAATTCTTTCATAATTCAAATACAGTTGAAAACAAAATCTGTGAAAATCATTTGGAAATCTGCAGTTGAAAACCTCTTAAGAGTGCCTATTTTCAAGAATGATCTGGTTCTAACTTTTTTAAGGTGAGAAATTTTCAAAACATGTTTTTCCATTAAATAATCCACAAAACTAACCACAGAGGAAGTACCAAAATGTACCTGACAGAATATCTAATATTTCAGAAATATTAGATAGCTGCTGAGAAAATAATGGATCTCGCAAACTGGAATAAACTTAAGTTTGTTTGTTTTTAATTTGAAATACAACTTTACATAGAAATAATAGTGACATAGTTCAACAGCTTATAGTAATATGTATTTAAACTATACACCACTAGATACTTAAAATACATTTAACCTTCTCATACAACACTAAGTATATTGGAAAATGTACTAAGAATTTCAGCTCAAGAGGCTAACATGATAGGCCCCTTGCAGGACGCCATGGAGATTGAGATGCAGCAGAGCTACAGCCCAACAAAAATAGATTCTGAGGCTGGATACTAAATCAAGGGATTACAATTTTAGCATTCTTTGGGCACCAGTGATTTAACTCTCTCTCCTTTCACCTGAAAGAAAGGAACCACCCACAGTGCAAAGTGTTATCACTCCCTACCTCATTCCCATCCCCAAACTTACTGAATCAGGATCCCTAAAGATGAGGATGTGGTCTAGGGTACTATTTCTGGGGAATGCAGGAGAACCCTCAAGAATTATATGTGAATCTTTTGAAAAACATAATATCCTAGGCCCCACCAAAGACTTACCAGGTATTTTGGGGGTATGGGAGAAGCCAGGCGTTATGTATAATTAAAAATAAAAAAGACAACAGATAATTCTAACATATGTTCTTAGTTAAGAATCACTTGTCTACTATTAAAAACTCCCCTAAATATTTCAAAGAAAGCTTAACTATTCCTAAAGGAACAAGGAAAGCAATTGTAAGTAGCAATTACCTTCAAAGAATTATATTTCCTAAACAAAGCAAAGTTCATTACTAACCTTAAGAACTTTGGCATTTACAGATTCCTTCTCTTTATAAAAAAAACGAACCATCTGAATGGTCAAGTAAGCAGGAAGCCGGCTGATCTTGGACTGAGGAGAGAAAATGAAAAGAAATCCCATTACATCAAAATACCATATAAGTTTTAATCTTTGGTGGTAAAAATTAAGACTGAATAAAATTAGTTAACGGTAATCTTTCACTGAAGCAGAATTTGATTTCAAAAGGATTGTATAACTTACAGATTTGATGTACAAGGCATTTCTTTGCAATGTTGGAGACTGTTTGGTGATTTCTTCCTGAAGTCGCTAAAAAAGAACATAACAGAAGACCAAACATTAGTTTAAAAACTTTTATTGGCCATGCATAGTGGCTCACGCCTGTAATCCCAGCACTTCCGGAGACAGAGGCAAGCGGATCGCTTGAGGTCAGGAGTTTTGAGACCAGCCTGGCCAACACAGTGAAACTCGTCACTACTAAAAATACCAAAATTAGCTAGACATGGTGGTGTGTGCCTGTAGTCCCAGCTACTCAGGAGGCTGAGGGAGGAGAATTGCTTGAACCTGGGAGGCAGAAGTTGTAGTGAGCTGAGATACCGCCATTGCACTCCAGCCTGGTGACAGAGCGAGACTCCATCTCAAAAAAAAATTAAAAATTTTTTATTTCTGCACTAAGAAATCATACCACTAAGCCTTTTAAAAATTAGCACTACTTAATTGGCAATTTATAGCACATCAATGGATTAATACCTCTGAGAAATAATTTGATGAAATTCCCATATTGGGAAGACTTTTAGATACTGTTCAATTATTATAAGGCATCAAATAATTTACGCTGTTGTGGACTCCTCTGAGTGTAAATACTGTTTGATGTTTTTCAGTAATGGCCCAAATGATGCTTAGATTCAGAAAATTTTATAACATGAGTTTTGTCATTCCTATTTATGGATTATCAGAATATTCACCCCACAGGAAAATTAAGAGAATGCAGAAAACTCTTGTTCTTTATGTTTTATGTATATAACACAATAAGAACCAATCAATTATTGTTAAATTTGAAAAAAAGTTGTAACACAGAAAACCTCTGTTAATCTAACAGATGTGGCAAAGTCTTTAAGCCACTGCATATATCTTAACCAGAATGATAACCTTCCACTTCTTACAGTCCATGTAACAATGGGAAAGGTAATCCCTCCAGGCATCATTTGGTAAAGGCAGCAGTGGTAATCTACGTTATAGTGCTATTGTTAGAATTACAGTCAGTACATGTAGAAAACCTGGTAAAATATTTGGCATATACTCTACATTAAATACACATTCGCTACTCTTTCTAATGTTATATAAAAAATTAGCACTACTTATGTGCTCTGCTTTAAGAATATAAACAAAAAAGAAATTAGAATTGAAATAACCTACTGGTAATGTTTAAGCATGTTACACTTGTATAATAATTTTTAATGTCTGATTTTTTAAAATGACTAATCACATTACAAAAGGGTTCACTGTGGAGTAGCTTTTTAACATTTAACCAAGTTTATTCAGTAGCAAAGCAACAGAGAAATGGAGCCAAATTACTCAAGAATTATCAGAACAAATGATGATAAAACATCTTAAAGTTATAAAGGAAATAAATGCATTTTAGGAATACATGTTTTTCAAGAAAATATATCTGGTGAAATCTTAATATTATCACCAATCCACTATCATCTAGACCTTCTAGGTATGTTCGGTTCTCCTATACTTTTACAAAATTGTGAAGAAAAGACCATCCAGGAGAGTCCCTGCCAAAGCATTCCACTCCACAGTCTCCAATTAACACTTAGACTTCATTTTTTGGTATATCCTGAAACTCATACATCATGCCTTACATGACTGTACTCCTGGGGATTAATTGTTTTTGTTGTTGTTTCAGATGGAATTTCGTTCTTGTTGCCCAGGCTGGAGTGCAATGGTGCGATCTCACATCACCGCAACCTCCACCTCCCAGGTTCAAGTGATTCTCCTGCCTCAGTGTCCTCAGTAGCTGGGATTACAGGGATGCACCACCATGCCTGAATAATTTTGTATTTTTAGTAGAGATGGGGTTTCTCCATGTTGGTCAGGCTGGTCTCGAACTCCCGACCTCAGGTGATCTGCCCACCTTGGCCTCCCAAAGTGCTGGGATTACAGGCGTGAGCCACCACACCAGGCCGTTTTGTGTGTTTTTAAATATATTTCTCTTAAAAGTCACTATGTTCATAACAAGACCACCTCAAAACTCTCCCCTCAGTATCACAAGACAGAGCATGACTCAGTCTCTCTTATGTCCATTTACCAACCCTTCCCCTTGCCAGCCTTACCTCAAACTGTAGATGAGAACCCCCAGATAACAAATCATCTTATCCATATAAACCATGCCCCACTTCAGTGTTTATCAACCCACTCCCCTCTACCCAAACTCAGCCTCTGCACAAAAGACCTATTCCAATGCCACATCATTTTTTACTTTTCTTCCTTCAAGACCTCTCCATATTGGTCATGATTAGAGGAGATAGCGAAAAGGATCAACCAAAATTTTTTAAACTTCTGCCCTCCAGGCCCTTCTTCAAATATTTAGATGTTGCAATGGCTTTTATTTATGTATTTATTTTTCATACAACTGTGTTTTAGAAGAAGCTAACTTTTAAAATAAACAATCCTAATTATGCTTTTGAAAAGTGGAATCACATGAACTGCAATTTGAAAACTATTAAAAGACATCAGTTCAAATGGGGAGATCCTTCAAGAGATATACATATTCCCAAAGCATACCAAATTAGTAAGTCAGCAAGCAAAACCATATGTTTTATCCATGGGCTTATTAGCAGTGTGGAAGCTGACATTTTATGTAAGTCTGCGCATTCTTTAGTATGGCAATGGAAAAGCAGCACTAATTGAATAATGAGAGAAGCAAGTTCTAGTTCTGGCTCTGCCAAAAGCCAAATAGGTTACTTAAATTCCAGGGCTTCAACTGCAAGACAGTGCAATGGGAGAACGACTACATGCCCTGATTTGCAGAGGACAATCCCAGTTTACACTGCATAATTACTAACATACCCTCATTCACTCTCCACCAAAGTGTCCTGATTAAACAATACATTATATGATCACCCTTAATGGTTAAGAGCACAAACCCACAAACAACCCTGTAGTTACTCTCCTTTTCATGTAAGAAAACAGAAGCTTAAATTAAGTAACTTTCCTTAAAGTTAATAGTTCAACTAAGTTACAAGGCCTTTGAAAACAACTATCTCAAAGGAAAAAGTAAATCTTAAGAAACATGTAAATTACTCAACAAACATTTCTTGAGTGTTTTAAAATAAAGCAAGGTGCAGCCCAAAGCACTAGGTGCTTCTTCACAGTGTGAAGCAGGAACATCCGGTGATTAAAAAGTGAAACATCCCAATATTTGTTAGCATATGCAACCATGTCAATACTGCTTTTGTCTATGAAATGAAAAGCTAGTTAAAGTTTGTTTGATTTCTGACTACACAGTTGATTTTGTTAGTCACGGTAATTATGTTCTACAAAGTCACCACGAGCACTTAATCAGTGAATACTGAACCACTGCTTCTAGGGGAAATAACAGGATTAGATTCCCACCAGCCTTTGGTCACAACATTTTAATCAACCAATCCATATATAACCTTGTTTTCTGTGTGTTTCTGTTTAGACATCTTATTTCACATACTGTGTTGATTCATTAACATTGAACTCACAGCCAACAGCACAACTCAGGCCCAACTGAAGCTCTCTTCCCAGACTTAGAAACAAGAGACAGCACTCAGCCCTATGCTTGGGGGTCATCTTAAACAGTGAAATCACCAACAAAAAGCAGGAAAAAAAAATGCGCTAACATTTCTGCTAAAATGATACTTGTCTACCAAGCTGAAACAAGAAGACGGAGTACTTGTTTGACCTCAGCTTCAACTGTGTGTAGCAGGCAACTCAAAAATGCGTGTGCTGCTCTGCACGTGTCTACAAAGGACCATTAAAGCTCAGCAAATAATGACCTTGGGCTTATGCACAAACAATGGGATTGACTATGATTGTTCTTACCAATTTAAGTCCTGTAAAAAGGTACTTGACTTCCTGATTGATAAAACAGCTAAGTTGAAGTTGATTTTCCTTTCCTTTGGTGACTTCTTCTTCTTCAGATTCTGTACATTTCATGCTTTATAAACTAAGATAAGGAATACGCCAACACGTATTCAATTTGTTACCTGGTCTTGAATGTAATTAATTATCCTAATGCCATTAAAATTAACAGTATCATTCATTGGTATTTAAAATATTTTAGTCTCCCAATAAAGATTCATTTCAACATACTTAAGAAATGTTCGGCCGGGCGCGATGGCTCAAGCCTGTAATCCCAGCACTTTGGGAGGCCGAGGCGGGTGGATCACGAGGTCGAGAGATCGAGACCATCCTGGTCATCATGGTGAAACCCCGTCTCTACTAAAAATACAAAAGCTGAGGCAGGAGAATTGCTTGAACCCAGGAGGCGGAGGTTGCGGTGAGCCGAGATCGCGCCATTGCACTCCAGCCTGGGTAACAAGAGCGAAACTCCGTCTCAAAAAAACAAAAAAAACAAAAAACAAAAAAAAAAAAAAAAAAAAAGAAATGTTCATTTGGCTATCAACAATTTTATAAGCAACAATGAGTAATGAATGTGTATTAAAAGATAAACTGCAATAAACTCTAAACAAATATAAGCTGGTATTTAGTATCATCTTATAATGGTTTTAGTAGCCCAAAGGTACACAAACACACATTTTTTCTAAGTTTTTCCAACCATGACCTAGAAAACAGTACTTCCCTGATTCATGTTTTATTAACTGGTTCAATTTCATATATATAGTTGGTACACACCATTTCATATAATTAAAAACTTAATTCTTTTATTTTAAAAGTTATTATTACCAGTAACCTTGACATATAAGAAATTAATTCTTTATAAGGTGAATAAAAATGAAGTAGACTCTGCAAAAGATGTTCTTAGAAAAAAATAAACATCCTTCAAAAAAGTTATTTAAAATAATTACATGAATCAAAACATAATGAATATCTTATTATCCTTCAAGATCACTCCAATGTGTATATTTTTCCTAATTCCTAATTTCCATTATTATATTATTTAAAAAACCTCTGGGCCAAGTATGGTGGCTCACGCCTATAATTCCAGCAATCTAGGAGGCTGAGGCAGATGGATCATCTGAGGTCTGGAGTTCCAGATGAGCCTGGCCAACATGGTAAAACCCTGTCTCTACTAAAAATACAAAAAATCAGATGGGCGTGGTGGTGGGCACCTGTAATTCTGCTACTCGGGAGGCTGAAGCAGGAGAATCTCTTGAACCCAGGAGGCAGAGGTTGTAGTGAGCGGATATCACACCATTGCACTCCAGCCTGGGCAACAAGGGTGAAATTCTGTCTCAAAACAAACAAAAAATAAACCTCTGAATGGCCAGACCCAATGGCTCACACTTGTAATCCCAGCATTTTGAGAGGCCAAAGTGGTGGATCACCTAAGGTCAGGAGTTTGAGAACAGACTGGCCAAACATGGTGAAATCCGTTTCTACTAAAAATACAAAAATTAGCCAGGCATGGTGGCATGCGCCTGTAATCCCAGCTACTTGGGAGGCTGAGGCAGAAAAATTGTTTGAACCCAGAAGGTGGAAGTTGCAGTGAGCCAAGATAGCACCATTGCACTCCAGCCTGGGCAACAAGAGCAAAACTCTGTTTCAAAAACAAACAAACAACAACAACAACAAAAAAAAAAAACCCTCTGAAGGGCCAGGTGCAGTGGCTCACACCTGTAATCCCAGCATTTTGGGAGGCCAAGGTGGGTGGATCACATGAGACCAGCCTGGCCAACATGGTGAAACCCTTTTTCTACTAAAAATACAAAAATCAGCCAGGCGTGGTAGTGTGCGCCTGTAATCTCAGCTACTTGGGAGGCTAAGGTAGGAGAATTGTTTGAATCCAGGAGGTGGAGGTAGGAGAACCCAGTGAGTCGAGGTTGCAGTGAGTCAAGATCGCACCACTGCACTCCAGACTGGGTGACAAAAGCCAATCTGAAGAATTTTTCTTCTACCCCACCACCACACCAAACAGTCAATGATGCTATTTATGCCAATTCTAGTAAGGTATAACTATAGTCTATACAAATCTTGGCTCATAAGGATACGTAGTTTCAAACTCAACACCGAAGAACTGATCAATTAAGCTTTTCTTTTTAGAAGGTGTAGCTGCTGATGCAGATGAAGAGTCTGTCTGCAAAAATTAAAACAAAATAAAAATTTCAACTTTATATAAATATTAATGTATATTTTCTTCCACACAATACAGTTTACTAATATATATTTAAGCTTTTAAAATGTAGTCCCTTACTGTAAAATCCTTCTGTTCAAAAAACATTACCAAAACTCATCAATGAATTCAATTTAATAAATAATACATTAAATTTAAATGTCATATGCAAGCTTCCAAATTCTGACTATAGATTGAGCATCTAAACTATTTAAATACATATCCATCTATTAAGATGAACTTATTTTAAGCCTTTGAAGGGAAAACAAATGAACAAAAAAAATCAAGGTATAATGAAAGTCTAAAGTCAAAAATATATTTTAATTACCTCTTTAACAGAATCATCCTCTATGGCTTCCAATTTCTGTTGCAATACTCGCATCATTTGTATCCAACATTCATTAGCATCCTGTAATGTAAAAAAAAGACACAGTAAGTAATCCTGGCAGTTAATGATCTACAAAATTCTTCCAAAATAATTACTGTCTCCCAGGCAAGAAAGCTGTTTCTTTGTTTAAAAATATTAAGCCAAATTAGATATATGATATTCCAAAAAATGAAGAATTCTAGAACAGCTTATTCATTCAACAGACATCTGCTGAGCTCCAATTTGTGCTACACTGTACTAGATACTCAACATAATAGCAGTGAAAATATAAAATTCAGGAAGAGATAAGCGTTATGAAGGGGGAAAAAAGCAGGATGGAAACAGTACGTGATCAGGGGAAGGGAAGTGTGCTATTTCAATAAAGAGGCAGGGAAAGCCTGAGGCTTTGGCCTTAGAGTCATGAGACCTGAAGGAGGTGAGGGAGCAGGTCTTGCACTTATTTGACAGCCAAAGGAACAAGAGCAAAGGCCCTGCAGGAAGAGGGCACTTGAAGGGTTCAAGGAAGAGCAAGGAAGCCAGGGAGGCTGGAGAGAGGCAAGCAAGGGCACAGTGGTAGTGACGAACTCACAGAAAAAGCCAGGGGCTAGGGGATTTAGGTCTGCAGTAGAAAATCACTAGGGAGTACTGAACAAGAGGCCAACATAATCCTATCTTCATTTTAAAAAGGACAATGGGGACTGTGTAGAGAAACTGCAAAGGGGCAAAGGCGGAAGCCAGATGATCAGTCAGACTACTGTGCAGCTGCAGGCAAGAAACAGTGGTGGCATAACTAGAGAAGACTGATGTTTATATTTCAAAATACGTCCCAATAAGTATGGTAAATGTAGGAAATCTAAGTTTTACATTTACAGAATGAAAACTACCTTCCCCTAATTACCTGTTGAAGATACTGTCCTTGTTCACCCTTCTCAGCAAACTGTGGGAAAGCCATGTGCAAAAACTGCAGTAGAATAATAGGTGGAATACTGGAAGAAGTTTTATCCATGGAATCAAACAAATCTCTAAGGGCTTAAAGACAAAGCAAACACTGCCTTAGTAAAACAGTCACATATATAATATACGCTACTATAAATTAATTTTAATTAATACAAACAAAAACCTGCTTAAAATTTTCTTTTTGAAATAGAGTCTTGCTCTGTCACCCAGGCTGGAATGTGTTGTGGCACAATTTCGGCTCACTGCAACCTCTGCCTCCCAGGTTCAAGCAATTCTCCTTCTGCCTCAGCCTCCCGAGTAGCTGGGATTACAGGTGCATGCCACTAAGCCCAGCTAATTTTTAAATTTTTTTAGTAGAAATGGGGTTCACTCTGTTCGCCAGGCTCGTCTCGAACTCCTGACCTTGTGATCTGCCCGCCTCAGCCTCCCGAAGTGCTGGGATTACAGGCATGAGCCACCGTGCCCAACCACTTAAATATTTTTAAGTGTATCTACTGTTTGACAATTGTTGGACTCCCAATAAGAAAAAAAAAATTCATTTTTAAACCTTAACAAACTCACCAGAAGACCTTACAAAGCAATCACTAGCTATAAACAACTTTTGAGCCCTGCCTCTTTCCTTCTTCTTGCCAGCCTTTGTCTTCCCAAACAAAGCAGGGTGTTTTAATTCAGTACAGAGAACACATGACCTCTGTCGAGGGACCAAACGGGCTTAATTTATTGTTCTGCTACTCTGCCATGATCAGGACAGCAGGTCACCTCTCCCAAATTACCTCCCTTTAAATATATAGTTGGTTCCCATCTACTCAATGGCTGGAGATTGAAATCTGGGTCCTTAAACAGCTGACTCTACTGGACAGCTACAAACCAAAACTATTAATAATGTACCTTCTTCAGAAAACCTTCTTTCCACTTACCCCTCTCACCAGCATGAATCTCACAGTTATGGACTCAGCTGTTCTCTTGGAGTTCGAACCATTTCTCCTCTATTGACTTCCTAGTGATTATACTTTGTCCTGGCTTCATGTACAGCAAAACTCTTACTCTAGTTTATCTCAGCTTGTATGGTGTATTAATACCCAAGAACGAAATGTCATCTATCATCATTATACATACTGAACCCACCAAACACTACAGCATCTTAGCACAAAGCAGGGGCTCAATAAAATGTCCCTGAATAACAAAACTGAACACAATGTTTAAAAAATATCTTTGGAGGGAGGGCTGAAATTTTTTCATCACTACCAAGCTAATTATTTTTTTAAATAAAAACCTACATTTTAATAATACTTTATACACTACTCAAAAAAACAGATGATTTAAGATCTAGTATATACCATCAATAGAGCATCTCAAAAGTATTTCATTACTTTGACAGAAAAAGGTCAAGAAGAAATCTAGATTAAAAGGGACTAATAAGACATAACAACTAAATGTAAGTGGGATCCTAAATTGAAACCTGAAGCAGGAATGAAAATCTTTTTAATGGATAATATTGGGACAGGTGGCAACATTTGAATAAACACTATTTTAGAGTACTGTATGAAACTCTCAAATTCTGAAAACAAAGTTTGTATTTTGAGACAGTGTCTCATTCTGTCACCCAGGCTGGAGTGCAGTGGCACAATCTCAACTCACCATAACCTCCGCCTCCCAGGTTCAAGTGATTCTCGTGCCTCAGCCTCCTGAGTAGCTAGGATTATAGACATGCATCACCATGCCTGGCTAATTTTTGTATTTTTAGTAAAGACGGGTTTTCACCATGTGGGCCAGGCTGATCTCAAACCCCTAGCCTCAAGTGATTCACCTGCCTCAGCCTCCCAAAGTGCTGGGATTACAGGCATGAGCCACCACACCCAGCCCAGATTGTAAAAATTAAGAATTGTCTTGTGGTTATGAATGTCCTTACTGTTAAGAAATGCACCCTGAAGTATTCAGGAATAAAACACCTGATGTCTGACACCTTATTCTAAAATGGTTCAGAAAAAATAATTACATGAATAACAGAAAAATGAGAAACCAAATGAGACTAAAAGTAACTCATGAATTCCCATGACTTTTCTGTAAATTTAAATGTATTTCAAAACAAAAAGTTAAAAAGTCAAGAAGCAAAAAGGTAAAAAGAACAGTATTTTTCATCGCACCAATACTATTAGCCCCATATATGATGCTGGAGAAGCTGCTGAAATTCTGAATTATTCTTAGATACATAAGCAAACAAATGAAGTAGATATAAATGATCACATTTTCTTACTAAAAACTTTATTTCAACAAATAACTCTACTTCAAGAAAAAGATTAAAGCAAAATCTAACTGCAAATGACACAAAGAAAACTGTTAAAAATTAAGGTTAACAACAATGAGATAACACTTCATATCTCTAGGATAGCTACAGTCAAAAAGACATACAATACTAAGTTCTGGTAAGGACACAGAGAAATCAGAACCCTCATTCCCTGATACCCTGGGGGAAATGCAAAATGGTGCAGCATCTCTGGCAATTCCTCAAAAGGTTAAATATAGTAACCATATGACCCAGCAATTAATTCCACTCCTAGATATATATCCAAGAGAAATGAAAGCATTTGTCCACACCAAAACTTGTACACGAATGCCAGCAGTATTTGTAATAGTCAAAAGGTGGAAACAACCCAAATATTCCACCAGTATGGATAAATAATATGTGGCATGTCCATATCAGGGTCTCTTACTTAGCAATAAAAAAAGAATGAAGTACTGATACATGCCACGATGTGGATGAATTTTAAAAACATTATACTAAGTCAAAGATACCAGTCACAAAAGACTACAAAATAATGGAATTATTTAATTCCATTTAGAACAAAAGTCCAGAGTAGGCAAATCTAGAGAGAAAGAACATAGATAAATGTTTCAGTAGGGCTAGAAATGGGAAAGGAGGTTACTACTGGATGTTATGAAGTTGCTTTTTAGTATAATCATGTTCTAAAATTAAGATTTTAGTGACATTTGCACAACTCTGCAAATTAAATAAAACACAATAAATTATACACTTTAAATGGGCAGATTTTATGACATGCACACTATATCAATAAAACTGTTAGAAAGAGTTAAAAAAGGCATGGCTGTAAAACCCTATTGACCTAGCCCAAAGATTTAACAGTATTAAAATGTCCAAAGTTAGGTGGACATTCTCTTATGCAATAAAGAAACCAGTTATTTCTATCCTTTAAGATTTATTTCTCCTCATACACATCACTTCTTTACACCGATACCCACTAAGACTCTCTTTTATAAAGATACATGAATTGTGATAAAACCCATCTCTGGTTATCCCTAAAGTCAACCCCAAAGATATATTATACAAATCGAACCTGAAGCCAAAATTATAATTTAATCTAAAAATGCAAAGATTATTTTTCACAAAGGACAGACATCACTGGTTTATAATCTGGATAAAATAAATACCAAGTTGTTTAATGTAAGTATAACGTACTCTCCAAGCTTAATGAGGTGATGTTTTACAAAGACATTCTGTAAACTGCAAAGGATTATGAGTGAAAAATATAATGTCTAACTCCTATCAAAAAGTAGTGTATTTAGTATACAAACCTGCGGTAATATACTGCGCTGAAGCCATTTCCCCTGAAGCTCTCAAGGCACCTGCATACCTAGGAACATTAAAGCAGAATTAAATAACAGAATTCAATTCATTCTAACACTCAAATGGGAAGAAACCAGTTAAAAGGACACCCTCAACTCCAAGTTCCTCCGAGTTGTTCCCACTTTTCCTTTTCTTCTCTTCTAGTCTTGCATTATATAGAGGGAAAAGGAATGCTGAAAAGGGAATTGAGATGAAGCCTACTTTAAGCTCTTTCCCTTTGTCGAACTCATATAAAACAAATATTTTACTTATTTATTTTTCTTTTCTTGAGACAGAGTTTCACTCTTGTTGCCCAAGCTAGAGTTCAACGACATGATCTCGACTCAATGCAACCTCCACCTCCTAGATTCAAGCAATTCTCCTGCCTCAGCCTCCCGAGTAGCTGGAATTACAGGCGGCCACCATCAGGCCCAGCTAATTTTTGTATTTCTAGTAGAGACGGGGTTCCATCATGTTGGCGAGGCTGGTCTTGAACTCCTGACCTCAGATGATTCACTCACTTCAGCCTCCCAAAATGCTGGGATTACAGGCATGAGTCATTGCACCCAGCTAAAACAAACACTTTCTGAAAGTACTGTGAAACAAAACTATCCACTAATCACAAAGAAAATAAAATAACACAATCTCTGAAATAGAATAAGCATTAGATCAAAAACATTAAATCAAAAATCATACACCTACATTCAGCATTAGCTTGCTGTGTATCATTAAAGTCACTTAAGTTTTTAGGTCAGTTTGCTCATCTGTAAACTGAGAAGCTTCTATTAAATGATTTCTAAATTTGCTTTTAGCTTTATGATCCTTATTTAATTTACAACAGTACAACAAACTGGTCATGCAAAGGAAATATTCAAACCATAGTCATTACTCATATAATGTCTTATGACAAATGCTCAGAAATTATCATTCAGTTAATATCAAACATTGAGGAAGACTGCATATGCACTATAATTAAACTATGCATACATACTATATACCCACTAGAGTAATTAAAATAAAAAATTTTAGAAATTAGTATCACCCAATATTGGCAAGAACGTAGAGCAATCAGAATTACTGATATAATCAATAATATGAATGGATCTTCAAACTAGATATCGAGTGAAACAAGCCAAAACAAAAGAAAAGCATAACCTGTAGGATTCCATTTATCTTATGTTTCAGAATGTGCAAACTAATATGACATCAGTAGTTGCTGGAAGGGAGTGGGGAGGATAAGCATTAATAGAGAAAATGCACATACAAGAAATTTTCTGAGATGACAGAAATGTTCTTTGATAAGCAAATGGATTACAGAGAATTTGCATTTGCCAAAACTGATCAAACCAAACACTTAAGATATGTGCATTTCACTAGATGTGAATTATATCTCAATTTAAAAAGCAAAACCCCCTGTGCTTACGTTAAGTCACAGAAAGTATTGTGTTAAATTGTATTCAATTGAAGTTTTGTTTTCCCTTTTTTCATCTGTTTACATCTTTCAGAAAGTACTGTGACTAAACACATTTCCTTAATTTTTCAATACACAATTCACAATAATGCCTGAATTATGTGTGTTCACTCTTTAAAACCTGAAAATCATCATATTTTCCTGTTAAGACATTTTAGCAACTTTTTAAAAGATTTTTGAAATTAAAATTGAGTACTAGTATAGCAGACATATCCCAGAACATCACTTGGGTATGTAATTAGCTATATAATTGCTGCTGTTACTGACTTTTACTTCCTGTTATAGGGTAACATGAATATGTAACTATTTCTATATTTATGGCAAAGATACACTAATGAATCTCAATTTTATTTTGTAACTAAGAATAGGAAAGTCATATGCAATTAAATATCAAAAAAATTCCCATATTATAGCAATAAAATGTAACTTCTAATTAATGTAAAACCATCCAATAAGCCAAATAATAGTAACACTGAAGTTTATAAAGAAAAACATAGAAAATAAAAGAACTGACAGATATATGAGAGGTTTTATAGTCAAAGGTACTGATAATCTTTCCTTATCTCTGTCAAGTCAATAAATAAAATGTAATGATACAGAAAATCTGAATATAATAAAATTAACCTAATATCTATTGCAGGCATCCCCAAACTTTTTACACAGGGGGCCAGTTCACTGTCCCTCAGACCGTTGGAGGGCCGCCACATACTGTGCTCCTCTCACTGACCACCAATGAAAGAGGTGCCCCTTCCTCAAGTGCGGCGGGGGGCCAGATAAATGGCCTCAGGTGGCCGCATGCGTGCATGCGGCCCGTCGGCCGCAGTTTGGGGACACCTGATCTATTGTAATTCAACACTTACAAAAAGAGGACATTTTGACTTTTCTAGCCCCTATGAAATATTCAATCATACATCAAATCAAAAAGACAAACTCAAGTTTCCAAAAACCAAAAGTTATGTAGGCCACAATCCTTTTCCATGGTGAAATAAAATAACATATGCTTTCATATATGTATGCTTCTAAATCCACTGGCTAAACTTGGATTAAACTCTTGGGTGTGGATGTGGAACAAATGAAAAACACATATAATGTAATGAAAGTACGATTTGGTACCTCCGTTTTTGAAACTATTTGGTAAAACATACTAAAACTGAATATATACAGCCCTTTATGACCGAGCAGTTTCACTCATATGTATTTGTTCATATGCATACATACTCATATATACCCAACAGAAACACAAGCACGTGCCCAAAAATGTAATAGAATATTCAGAGTATGTTTTTTCATAATAACCAAAAACTGAACACAAACCAATTTGACAGAAGAATGGATAACAAATTGGTAGCACAGCACACAATGGAATACTACACAGCACGAATATAAATGGACTACCAATACATAGAACATGGATACACTAAATATCATGAGCCAGACCCCATTACCCAATCATCAGCCAGACAAATGTGCCCAATTTGTACATTTCTGTTCATAAAGAGTTCAAAACTGGCACAACTGATCTATGAGATTAGAAGTCAGGATAGTAATTTCCAATTTGGGAAAGATAAACAGTGGTAGTGATTGAGATCTGAGGGGATTTTTAGACTGCTAGAAGGGTTCTGCCTTTATCTTGGGTACATGGATGTGTTCACCCTGGGACAATTCATTAAGCTGTGCACTTACAATCTGTATACTTTTCAGCACGTTATAATTCAATAATCAAACATAAACAAACTGAGCTAAAAGGAAAAGATAAGATACTTTCTAGTGATTTTTGTTAACATTTGAACAGCCTCAACTAACAAATAAACATTTGAACAGCCTCATCTAACAAATAGAGAAGAAGCAAAATCTCAGTATTAAATGCTTTCAATACTATAGAAGAATAAGTAAACAATCCATGTATGAAACTTTAAGTAGAAAAGAAACAATAAAACAAGCCTAAGGTAAACAGAAATAAGAAAGAATTAATACAAACAAAGTAGGATGAATCAGACAATTCAAAAAATTAAATGAATAAATCTAATAGCAAATTATTCGAAAAATAAAATACAAGTATCTGTAAAGATAATTAAGGAAGAAAAACACAAATATAACAAATAAGAAATGAAAATACCAAAAAAAATACAGATCCAATAGTAAAATAACTCTTAAGCTAAAATACTTTAAAGACAGGACAATTTTGTAGGAAAAATATAAATTACCAAAACTGACTTTAGAAAAGAAAAGAGACACTTAAAATATCCCAAAGGCGGCCGGGCGCGGTGGCTCAAACCTGTAATCCCAGCACTTTGGGAGGCTGAGGCGGGTGGATCACGAGGTCGAGAGATCGAGACCATCCTGGTCAACATGGTGAAACCCCGTCTCTACTAAAAATACAAAAAATTAGCTGGGCATGGTGGCGTGTGCCTGTAATCCCAGCTACTCAGGAGGCTGAGGCAGAATTGCCTGAACCCAGGAGGCGGAGGTTGTGGTGAGCCGAGATCGCGCCATTGCACTCCAGCCTGGGTAACAAGAGCTAAACTCCATCTCAAAAAAAAAAAAAAAAAAAAAAAATCCCAAAGGCTGGGCACAGTGGCTCATACCCATAATTCCAGCAGTTTGGGAGGCTGAGGTAGGTGGATCACCTGAGGTCAGGAGTTTGAGACCAGCCTGGCCAACATGGAGAAATCCCATCACTACTAAAAACACAAAAATTAGCTGGGCATGGTGGCGCGCGCCTGTAGTCCCAGCTCCTCAAGAAGTTGTGGCAGGAGAATCGTTTGAACTTGGAAGGCAGAGGTTGCAGTGAGCCAAGATCATACCACTGCACTCCAGCCTAGGCAACAGAGAGAGACTCCATCTCCAAATAAAGTACCCAAAAAAAGCTGAGTGCAGTCAATTTCATGGGCAAATCTTCCAACAACAGATCAGTACTATAAAAATATGAAAGAAAATAAAGTTACAGGAAAAGATGGACATAGCGCTAGCATAACACCAAATCCTCACAAAAAAGGAAAAAAAAAGCCAGAGGGAGACAGAACGGTATAAATCAGTCTTACTAACAAATAACCAAAAAATCCTTTTTAAATGTTTCAGCAAATTAAATTCAGCACTATGCACTGAAAGAATACAAATGTATCAGAAATATAATTTACTATTAGGTTATTAACCTAACGTATCATAAGCAGATTCAATGAGAAAAATCTTAAAACTAAGTCAACAAACAACATTTGAAAATTTTAACATATATTTCTCATTTTTAAAAAATCTTCAGTAAACAAATGATGGAGGGATACTTTCTTAACATGCTTAAGAACATTTCCACCAAACCTGAGGCAAGGACAAGGAGAAGAAAAGAAAAAAAGAATATTTCCACCAAATCCGAGGTCAATATTTAACACTAAAATACAACATTCTTATTAAAATCAAAAACAAGAGAGAATTCCACAACAATCTACTATTTAACAGTGTTCAAAGTTCCAGCCAGTGAAACACAAAAGAAATATAAAGTAAACCGCCTGAAACAGACAAAACTAACCTGAATAATGGATATGATTATCTATTTAGAAAGTACA